AATTTTCCGAAAGATGGTTTTGGTCATTTAAGGTAGTTGTTATCACGCTGATATATGTTCAATTGTTCGTTTTTGTGATAAGTTTGATTTTGGCTAGTAATTTGATGCTCTAAAAACGGGGCGTGTCGTTATGGTTGATTGGGTCTGCGGGAGTTTGGGCGGGAGTTTGATACCGCGGCTCCACCTAGAGGTCTGCGAAGGACTGTTTTTTTAGTCCCGCCCGCTCCCGCTATATATTCACTCTTTGTTCACCCGCTGTCCGCTTAGAATAATTTTCTAAATGGACGTCGGAACGGGATATTGTTAGACCGCCCAAATTACACCAGAGTTACCGACCGCTACCGCGTTTTATTCGGGAATTTAATCCCGCGGCGCAAAAAATATGGTCGGGTCCCGCGGTTGCAGACCTCTAGCTCTACCTCACGACTCTACCGCGCAGACTCTGGCTCCAAACGAATCTCTACTGCGCAGACTCGGGCTCCAAACGAATCTCGTCTGCGCAGTAACGAATCTCTACTGCGCAGACTCTGGCTCCAAACGAATCTCTACTGCGCAGACTCTGGCTCCAAACGAATCTCTACTGCGCAGACTCTGGCTCCAAACGAATCTCTACTGCGCAGACTCTGGCTCCAAACGAATCTCTACTGCGCAGACTCTGGCTCCAAACGAATCTCTACTGCGCAGACTCTGGCTCCAAATGATGTCATTTACTCAAGATGGCAGCGGCCATACTGAGATGCTTTGGCTTCACTTTTCTATAGTGAAAGGAATAGGAGACGCATCGTCCATCTTTTTTTTACAGTCTATGGTTCCGCTCCCCGTGCAACTGATACTCGACTGCCATTGGCTCATCTGCGTTCGAGGGGAGGGGCTTACCGATAGGTCAATTCCGCGGGAAAATCGCGGACTTGGCAACACTGAGTACAATCAAAGTCCCTTTAAGGTATTCTATAGTCTTTGGTACAATCCATTGAACACATTGTACAGCCTCGTTTTCATTCCTGTAAAATATTAAATAGCGCTACCCTGACTGAGATCATATCCATTATGATATCTCTGACGCATTTATGAGATACTCACTGATAAAACTGATGAAGTTTACCTTCGTGAAATGCACAAGAGCGACTCCTATGCTTGACCTCACAGCCCCAACAAACATGGCGACGATTGCCTGACACGTTACAGTTACGTTTCTATAGTAACGCTGCAACTCTCGCGATAACAGCGACCGGCGAGACTGCCTGACTGCGGCGCCCTATTTCCTTTCCTCGCTGTAAGTGCGAGGGCTCCGGCAGAAATCGAGTCATCAACCATCACAAACTTTAGTCACAAACAGCGTTTAACTTTCATTTGTAGGCGAGCAACACACCAGCGGTTCATAAGTTAGGCCAGGGTGTTGTTTCTGAAGCGCCTCGGCGTGTTTTAGGCGTTTGTTTGAGGCGTAAACAGTGTAAAAGAGGAGTTGTGGGTGGGTTTGACGGTTATGGCAGCACCGCGACCCATTAAAGGGATTCTGAAGAACAAATCCAGTATCAAAGCCCGACCAGAAGAGCCAGTCCAGGACACCCCAGAACCAGGAGACCCTATCAACTCTGAAGACGACCAACAGTGAGTAACTAGTCTGTAAAACAGCTTAAATCAGTCAGACAGGGCGGCTGTAGCGCCTGTCAATCAAACTCGGACATGATGTTGACAGCGACCTGAACTAGTACACTTAACCAGTCCTCTAGGTTGAGTTTAACTGGTTTTGCTCCAGTTCGATTACTGGGTTAGTAGCTTGGGCTGCTAATAGGTTAGCCACTGACCTGTCATGTCAAGCAAAACCATCCTGCTGGATTGAACACAAGACCAACCTCTTTACTAACCAGCTGTATTACAGTCAGTCTCTGAGCCTGTTATCTACATGCACAGCTCAATGGTGTGTTTGAAATATGGATTCACAAGCAGCAAAAGTGTTGTTGTTTTTTTTCAAACGTATACATTACGTAACAATGACGTTAAAAACTCTTTAAAACGTTTTATTAAGAATATTATTATATGCAGACATTTAAATTAAATATGAATAGGACACTCAAGAAAACTTCCAAGAGCATTCGTGAGACTTATTTCACCCCAAACTTTTACTTACTTTTAAGCCAAAATTCAGGTTAAATTTCTTGTTTTTATTACTGCTCTCTCTCTCGCTATCTATCTATCTATATATATATATATATATACACATACACATATATACACTACCGTTCAAAAGTTTGGGATCAGAACGATTTTTAAAGTTTTTTACAGGAGTTTCTTATGCTCATCAATACTGCATTTATTTGATTAAAAAAAATACAGGAAAAAAATTAATATTGTGAAATATTATTATGATGTAAAATAACGTTTTTCTATTTTAATATACATTAAAATATTGTTTATTCCCGTGATGCAAAGCTGAATTTTCAGCATCATTACTCCAGTCTTCAGTGTCAC